ATGTTTAATCTCAGCGTCAGCTCTGCCTTCTTTTATTAAGTGTATATCAGAGAAGTATGTAACTACGAAAAATTATATGGAGATTTCAACAAGAATATAAAGCTTTGCAAAATCGCTAAGACCATACTACCTTTCAAAATACAAAAGTATAATAAGCAGACATAAGAATTCTTTCTTGAGCTGGTGATTCCCAAATAACTTCTCCATGGGATGAAGCAAACTTCAAACAGGCTACTTTTCCACACTTACTTCTCCTCAAGCAATTGTAATTGTTATTCATTTTCAACTTACGTGTGATTTTACTTCAGTGTCATATATAAGACTTTCCCAAAGGCCATGGAATTCAGCTGCAAAAGCAATATATTATATACCTGTTTAGGATAAATCAGTCTTGGAACTTGCAATTTACCATTGCAGCACAAAGCAGTTTTCAAATTATCCTCAACTAAAATTAAGAACAGGTTTACAAGAGCAATTAAAATACATGGAAAAAAAAAATGTACGAGTTGATGCAAAAACACTACTTTCTAACGGACAAATTCAGCAGTTTCACAACTTCTGTTTCCTCAAATAATTATAAGGAGAAATTAATCTTCTTAATGTCTTAACATGAAAGGAAGAATATATCATTCCTTCCACCCTCAATATGGGACGGACCTACATTTTCCCAAGATAAAGAGCTATGAAAAGTTGGGGTGGGAGGAGGGTTCTGAGCCCAATTTTATCATTCAGCTTTTTTTTTTCTTTTTAACATCAACATGTAGAGGAAGAAAAAATCACATTGCTAAATAATGTATAAAAAAACTTCAGTTGTGATTGGGTATCAATCATTTCTAGCAGTTAGTTTCTAGCTTTCAGCAAAGTAAAGCAAAAAAGACTGAACAATTATAAACCACAATAATATGGGAATAATGTCAAAGATTGGATCAGATTGGATTCTTCCCAAAGAGAAATGTAATGGATAGTTAGGCTTTTCACAACATGGAAAGAGCAAGAAATGTCTCAGAACACTGTCTGTTTGAGCTCAAGCTCACACCCGTACTTCTCGTTTCAGGCACAGAATCCAACTTCCCCAAGCATAAGATAGTAGCAGGCAGGCTACGCTCTACTGCACAGCAAAGCCACCTTCTTTTCAGAAGACACTCTGAGGACTCTAAATCTCTTTAGCTTGTTTCAAATGTAAGAGCAGCCCTGTCTTGGGGGCTGGAAGCCAGCAGTGGGCTCTGGAAAATGAATGCTTAAACTGACGAGTTTCTTTTGGGTCTCCAAATAAAAATCTGGAATGCAGCTTGTAGGGCTAAAAATTTGCATGCTTCTGAGTATGACTATACATTTTATCCTACAAGACCAGTTACTTCCACCCATCTGCAAGTATCACACAAATAAATGACGTGCTGTGGAATCACCCATAGTAGTTCAGTCAAAACCATATAAAAGAAAATCCAAATATATTGGTTCCATCGACAAAGGACAAAGTTAAACAATATATACAAATAATATCTTTAACAGGTAACCCTAATAAACACTTTTAGACTTTTCAAAATTTTCTTTCATTGTAATTACTCTAGACCTTGCAGAAATATCACATGGGTACCTGCTGGTAGCACCCAGTGGTTAGCTGCAATGATATCCTCATTCTCTTCTTCAAGGTTTTCAGAGCTTGGTCCTTCTTCATTCAGATGAAAAATATGAAGAGAAAGGCTGCTTTTGCTCAAGTCAATAGGCTAGAATGGACATAAAAAGACTTTAAATACACTGTATTTCTCGTTTAAAGCTCATTATAACATAAGAAAGTTACAGTTATCAGCTGGCATTAATCTTTGAAGCCTACTACTTTTGTTTCAGACCTTACTAAGGGGTGTAGGTCCCAAAACTTATTCCTCCTTTTCCTGGTTATACCAGTTGGCCTAATAAAAGATACTACATCGTCCTATAGACCTGGACTCGCTTATGTCCTTAGGCTATCACTATTCTACCTACAACTAGTTTACATGCATACGAACAGAGCTGTACATTCTTGACTGTGAATACCTGTCTGTCTTTCAGTTTCAGCTCCGTATCCACAATCGACACAGACTGCACATTGCTGTTAAGGAAGCCATCATCAAACTCTGTCCACTTGTAATCACCAAATACGACGTTATGTCTGTTCAACAGCTTTAAGACACTCATCCTGATATCTTCTTTCTTGGCCGCACTAACAAGAAAGAAGCGGCATTATTTATGGCATTGACATTTATAAGGAAGTATGAACTAGTATTGGAGTGCTTCATTTCATACACTAGCCTACATGGAAAACAGCTTCATCTCACAAAAAGATGAAAAACAAAAACCCAACCCCCCCAAACAAAACCACCCCACAAAAAAGCAACCCACACAAAAAAACACAAAACCCTCTCACTGCCCCCTTGTAACATTCTACAGAAAACGAATCTATCAAATTCAGTTTGTCTGCAAAAGCAACAAATTTTATACTTGTTTTTAATTTGTGCACTAAAAGACACAAGACAAAGAATACTGTTTGCTCTGTTTGCAGTCATATCAGGGGACATCAAATGACACAGCTAGAAGATTTCAAGAATGGAAATTAGTTATGCAATATGTGTTTCACCAGGAAAAACAGAAAAACTCATAGCCGAGCTATTAGAATGAATTTGGAACACTTAGCTTGGAAGCTCTATTACGCTTTCGTGCCCGAGGACAGCTGATACCTCAGGATGGGGACATGCTATAAGAAAAATTCCAGCAGAAGAGACAAAAACTACAGGAAAAGGAATACCATTTTAAGATTTCAGAAAGGTTTTAACTTAATTTTGCCATTTCAGTGATGCATTCCCAGTGTGAATTCCCAGTTCCTTGTCTTTTAAGTCTGACAAAAAGACAGTAGTGGAGATTTTACACCTTGACTTTAGCAACACCTTGGACACACTCTCCCATAGTATCTAGATAGCCAAACTGGCAAGACAAGGACTGGATAAACGGACATCGAGGTGGCTAGACTGCAGCTCAAACAGTTGTGATTAGTAGTGCAAAGACTAAGCAGAATTGCCAGTAAGTCAGGCAGGGAAAGGTGGAGTGGTGCTGTCAATGTTGGGACCAAGACTGTTTTTTCTTCATTTACACCCTGGACAATGGGATGAAAAGCAACTGCAGCCAGTTCACAGATAACACCAAAGCAGGGAGAGCTGTCAGTATGCTAGAGAGCAGAGCAGCCATCCAGAGGGACCTCTGCACTTTGGAGATATGGTTTGGCAGCAACATTTGGAAGCTCAACAAAAGTAAACGTGAAATCCTGTCTCTCCATCTACCACCCAGATGACAGTACAGATCAGGGGCCAACTGGATGAAAAGCACCTTTGCAGAAAAGGGCCCAGAGGTACTGGTGGACAAGATGGCAACAAGCCAGCAGTGCGTCCCTGCTAGAAATAAGGCCAACCTTATCTTAGGCTATGCTAGTAAGAGTTGCAAATACTAGGGAAAGCGATTCTTTCCGTCTGCTGGCTGTTTGTGAGAGCACATCCAGAGCATTGTGTGCAGCTGTGGGCTCTGCTGGACAAGAGACAATGATATACCCGAGCAAGTCCAGAATATGGCCACTAAGTGGACTGTGAGACCGGGTAACATGATGTGCAAGAAACTGTGAGAAACGGGCTTGTTCAACCTTAGGAAGGGACACCTCTGTGGAAACTCAGGGGAGAGTGCAGAGAAGGCAGAGTGCGGCGCTGCGCACCTACAAGCGCCCAGCACTCTGCTCTGCCTTCTCCGTGGAGAAGGGGCAACGGACAAGGACGAAACCGCAACAGACGCAAGCCGCAGCGAGTCAAGTTCTGCTCAGAGAGACCTGCTGGGTTTCTGGTGAACTTCCACGTGTATCTGAACGTTGTCACACACGCTCGGGAGCGCTTGCTTCAAATCCCCGGCAGCTTCGTCCATCCTCCTCGCCCCTGGGGGGAAAGCGGTGCGCAGGCGTTCAGCGACCGTCACACGGCAACGGCGCGAACGGCCCTTCCCGGC